AGTTGGTTTATCAAGAAACAATGATTGAAGATTACACAAAGTCAATTGGATGAAATTAAAAGATGAAGAATGGAAACGGTACGAAAAAATGACTCAAGATGCACAAAATACAAAAGCAGGAATCAAAACGAACATACCTCAAAATGTGCACTCAATTACAGCCAAAAGGGCGCTTGAGCACATTTTCCAGAACTTGAGCACTCGATGACGAGATCAATAGGCAAGATACAAGAATTCGTTTCATTAAGGAAATGCCTTGGTGGTTCCAACAAAAATGTCAAGGATGAGTATTGATATTGGATTGTCATTTTTGTTGTCAAATGTCTTGTATTTTTGTTGTACCTAATTCAAGTCTAAGTTATGTTTATGTGATTAAAAAGTCTAGCACAGTATGGTCATGTATAAGGTAAGGGATGCTGTCAACAATTAAGGTGGTAGTAGGTGGAAACTTGTTGACTAAAGTATGCTAGAATCCTTTCGTAAAGGTTGAATCCCAACTTTGAGAGCTCCCACTGTTTCATTCCTAGAGCTTTGTGAGAGAGGTTAATCGCGGGATGTGTTCCAGCAGGACAGGAAACAAGAGCTACCTGTACACTGCACCTACAAAGAGTCCAAATACATGTTTCAGGAATCGAACCCCCACACTGTGGTTGTCAGTAAGGCGTGAGATAACCTTACTCCTGTCCTTTGCACCACTGGACTATGCTCCGGAAGGCAAATCCTTTTGTAATTTATATAAGATGCCAGCCGTGTATGGTTTTAAAATATGTATGGTTTTAAAATATAGCAAGTTAAGTTTTTCTTCCTCTTTGTACTTATATATCTATCAATTACTTGCCTGAAGCCGAGACCAGAATGGCTATCACAACAAGCAATTACTATTCAGGTTTGCTCTATAATTAGTGGTTATTAATGAGGTTTCTGAACGCCTTTTGCTATTTTCTAAAATCATGCTCTATGGAAATTATGTACTTCATTTCACCATCGTAGCATTCTATGGAGACGTAGTACTCTTTAGTGTGATCCTAGTCATTATGGTATACACAGCCTCTTTAGATTTCAACTTCCAGGTTGACTAATAATCAAGTAGAAAAATTAGCCAATGGAATTGAAGTTTGCACATTGAATCACATTGCAAAATTGTCTGTAAAAAGGCCATAAATTTAACGGAAGATTCCATTGAAGAAAACTGAGATATTACCTTAACAATTGCCAGCAGCATTGTTAAGCAGCTGTAATATATATATATGTGTGTGTGTGTTATTGCCATGACAAAGATGAAGCGGTGCAGTTGTTCAAGGCCTTCATATGAGACAAATGGTTCATAATGCTGTTAAACAAAATCATTTTTTTCAAACACATGTGCCTTGAGAGGTTTTTCACATTAGGCTTTAAACACAGACTTTATGCCTTCAGTACCATTTGTCAAGCCTTCTGCAACACTTTCCCAACTGCACCAATGTTAAACCTTTCATGGATTGGTGCTTATGATTGTGCCAAGCTTTTCTCACACAGTCATATATGCAATGGTTAGCTTTTAACATGAAATAAAAATTGATTGTAAGTTAAAGCAGCCAATGAAAATAAATGGCAGCAGAAGAAAAAAGGAAAGCATAACAATGAACATTATATCGCCTACATCAAACCTATAGAAAAATGCATAAACCTCTCAAAAATTGAGATTAGAATCATTTTTTTCAAGCACATGTGCCTTGAGAGCTTATTCGCATTGGGCTTTAAACGTAGACTTTATGCCTTCAGTACCATTTGTCAAGCCTTCTGCAACACTTTCCCAATTGCATTGATGTTAAGTACTGTTACCATTTGTAGTGGCCAAAGGCAACCTCGATGTTAAAGTATCTAATTTTCAAGTGATCTCTACGTGATTTACAAATTCAGGAATTGCTCAGGGGCTTCTTCCAGTTTCTTTACATTTAGGGCTAGAAAATTTTTCGACAGTAAAGCAAACATCGACTAAAGAGACGGAAATTAAAATTTGCTAGTAACTTCAGTTTAGTACCATTAGGTGTGAAGATTGCACAAAAATAATCATAGAACACGAAAAGTACAGGTTAAAGAAAGAAAGTACTAGTGCAGAACTCAGCACTTTATAATTGCAGTGAGGGTTGGAGACTGAAGCAAAAAACTGAAGAGCAAAAACTGGCAAACACATGGATTAATATGTAATCATTATACTATAGTAGAAGAAAAAGTGCAAAAATTGATTCACCTCTATGGTAAAATGTAGAAAAATTGAATCAAACCATCAGAACTTTGAGATCGAATACATAAATAACAGAAAAAGCAATCTGGGACCTAAAAAGAAAAATGCCAACATATTCTCTTTGGTACCAAATATTTCATAGCCTTTAAGCACTTGTCAAGGATATGAATAATAATTGATATGTGATATCAAACTCCATTTTAGTTCCTTAAATTTCTATGTTTAGAATTTACAGGAAGAAAAACATATTGTATATTGTTGATTTCAGCTGTAAAGTTCACATATTGTAGTCACTTATGACAAGAGGTCTCTCATTATTAATGTCCACAATATTTCTATATTTCTATTTTCTTGATTTTTTGACGGTTTTATTTGAAATATTTTTGTTCACAAATCGAAAATATATACACTTTCATAAACATAAAGCTACTAAGTTGTCCAGAAAAACAATTAGAAAGGGCAAGTTTTGCATATTAGTAAAAATCCACGTAAGATAAAAGCAGAAAAATACAAACACTAAAATTAGAATCCAAAAGAACACTTTACAGGTCGAGAATGGAATTCTTAGGGAGAAGGGAAAAGCAAAACTTCAATAGATAGAAAATGATAAGCATTCAACTATAAATAAACCACATGGAACAATATCTTTCCTGTGAAATTGGGTAACTTTTGTTCAATCTTCATCTCTTTTCTGGATTACTAATATTCATTTTCCATTTTCATGCCCACTTAGTTCATACTTAATCGAAAAATGTTTGTTGTGATTATTTAAATTTCCATCTCTAGCACTCAATCAGGAAAAATTCAAAACTTCTATATATGTAATTCTGTTTGTGTAGTTGCATGCTGTCAATTATACTGTTCTAACAAATAGCAACTACTCCTTTTGCCAAATTTGAATTTCTTAGAGTTGTTTTTTGGCTTTACAGTACAAAAGATATAAATATCATTTTGAACATTTATCAAACACCTTCCCTGCACATTATTCTCCACCCAACCATGGCTGTGGAGCTCATAATGAATCAGACAAATTTTGTTTCACAATCAGAACAAAACGCTGTGCAAGAAGCTACTTCTGGCCTTCAGAGTGTTGAGAAGCTTATTAGATCATTTTCATATCAAAACAAGCAGATTCACTTATCTGAAGAAAAGGTAAGCAACAAAATGGAGATAGATTATGTAGCTGTGATAGTGTAACCAGGCCTTTTTTTTTTTTTTTTAAGGAAAAAAAAAAAAAAGATAAAATCTAATCTCACGGCTCTATATCTCAATTTCCTCCAATTTATGATGTTGCTAGTAAGTAATAGCACTGAAAATTTTCTTTCACAAGCTTATTATGTTATACTTAGCGTATTTCCACATTCATGTGGTCAGACTATATAATACATAAAAAATTAATAAAATTTTTTAAGTTTTCTATTGATCCGTATCTATGAACTTGATTTTATTTGTTCGTCAATAGTTCTTATAATATAAAATTATTTGTTATTTTAGATCTTGTAATTTAAGTGCGCCTAAAACTCGAACAATTTCCTTTAAAAAAATTTCATTTGGACTAAAAGTCCAACCGATAAACCAAACCAAAGGTTCGGTTTAAGAATTAGAATGAGTTGGTTTGGGTTGAAATTTGCTCAAACTGACTAATTTGGTTTTGGTTTTGGTTTCGGGTTGGAGTTGAAACCGACCCAAACCAAACCGTGCCCAAGCCTAAGTGTAACAGATGTGGCACTAAACAAATTCGAGAAAGCTATTTCTCTTTTGCGTCAAACAAGAACTGGCCATGCTCGTTTTAGAAGAACCCCTGTTGTCTTCTCTTTTTCTTCTTCTCCATCTTTACCTCCGATTCCGAATACTCCGGTGAGAGAAGAATCCGTTGACTCTAAGATTTACTGTCCAACTGCTATTCAACAAATCCTATCATTAGATATCCTTATAATCCTTATTGCGAGACAAAATATGAAAGAGACAAAATATGAAAGAAGCTGTCCTTATAATCGCTCTCCACACAATGCGGAGAACGCGATCTCCGCACAGCACGGAGAATGCGTTCTCCACAACGGCACAGATATCGCCCTCCGCACAGCGAGGAGAATGCGTTCTCCGCACAGCGGGAAGAATGGGTTCGCTCTACGTGGAGACCACTCCAATGCTCCCACCATTAGATCCTATTATCCTTGTAATCCCGATTATGAGACAAAATATGAAAGAAGTTGTCCGTGCTGTGCGGAGTAATAAGACTCTCAACTTTTAGAATTAATTGTTCCAATGGTCACCGAACTTCGATCCATATCTTTGATTGGTCATCGAAATTTAAAACGTCAAGTTTTGGTATTGAACTTAGGTACATATCTTCGATTGCTCACTGAAGTTTAAAATGTCAAGTTTTAGCCATTGAACTTTGGAAAACGTCGTACGTAATTCACTAGCATAAATGTTAAACTTCAAAAAATGTCGAGTTTACAGTGATTAATGTACAATATTTTTCAAAGTTTAGTGGTCAAAACTCGACATTTTAAACTTTAATAAGCAATCGAAGACATGGACCTAAGTTTAGTGACCAAAACTCAACATTTTAAACTTACGTGACCAATTAAAGACATGGACCTAAGTTCAGGGACCATTGGAACAATTAACTCCAACTTTTACAAGGACCTCTACTAGCTACCTTGTCGATATTGGGAAAATTCAAGCCCCTATATCTCTATTTTTGCTCAAGAATCCAAGATAATTTTAACATTTGCTTTTAAATATTGAATTAAATTACATATTTTTTGATTTACTTTAAATTCGTGTTGCACGGAGAGCAAGCATCGCGAAGACCACATATCTCAAACGTAGCGCGGAGATTGCTCTTCGCAGTGCACGTCTCGCATGTACACTCCGTATTCAAATCCGACTGAATTAAATTTTTCAAATTCGATTGATTCTATTTCTCGTTTGATTTAGACAAAAAATAAAAAGAAAGTAATCAACTTACATAAGACTAACTAGTCAACCCCGTCCAGTGCAATTTAGGCCTTCTTTTGCAATTCGAATTCAGATGAGATTTCAGTTATTTGGATTTCTGGAAAGAAGGGAAAGAAGATGAAGAAGAAGAGTAGTGGAGGAATGGTAAATTGAGGAGAAAAATGGAGACTGCCTCATGCTTTCTTCTAATGGCCCAAATCATTTTCCGCTAATGATGAAATGAGAGGGGAAAAAAATGAAGGATGATATATATTTGCGACACGTGTCGGGCAATTCTTTCGCTCTTTTATATATGTAGGAAAACTATTTATTTCTATACTCATTTTCAATTACACATTCTTACAATAAAATATTTTTCACGTATACTTAAAAATTTTCCATATTTTTTAATCACCTTATAAAAAAAAAAATCACTATTCAAGACTTCATTTTTATACAACATGGCCATCAAAACAGGGATTAATTGTCTCACTAATCACTGAATTATGTTTGTGTCTTCGACTACTTATTGAAGTTTTAAATGTCGAGTTTTGTTAACTATACTTATGAAAGTATTGAACGTTACTCACGGCTTGATATCCATTTCACAATTCTTATGAAATTGAGATTGAATGTGGAGCCAAAACAACATTATGCAAATTGCTATGTAAGAAATGTGTATTTGATTGCTCAATAGTCTTTTTTTGCTCAACGTGTTTTAAAAGATGTCTTTGATTGCTCATTATATTTTAAGATGGTGGAGTTTTTCCCATTAAACTTGTAAAATTGATGTACATCCGTCCGAATAATTTAGGAATGTTGATCCAAATATCACTTGCATACAAGAAAATTTATTTATTATTTTTTTGGCCGGGTGCTATTTAGTGGAGACTTATATAGCTTGATATGAAAACATATTCAATCCGATGAACAACTCCTTTGTGGCCAATCGTCCTCTAATCGAAGCTCCTCAATGGAGGGGTAAACAAAAGGAAAAGACAAGAAAGAGAAGTAAGGACCTTTTTTTACTGGTGACCATAATTCTGGTGAATCTGAGGTGTCTACTTCAATTTTATTTTTTTATTTTTTTTGATGACAAAATTCTAGTACACTTTTTTTTTTTTTTTTTAATGTAATTAGTAGCTGCAAACGATGAGCATAATTATGGTGGATGATTTTTAGTGTCCGTTTTTTGCTACACATAATGTAAGTGATACATGTTGGTTTGCTGTTAATGTAAATTACGGTTTTTTTGGGTGAATGTCATGCATATTTTTTGTTAAAAGTTCTAGCCGTTAATGGACTGATGTAGAGCAGGGCATTCTTATATGTTCAGAATGCAATGCTCATTTTTTTGCTCTTTCTTTGATTTGTATGGTTAGAATGTAGCATTCTTGATCGTCAAAAAATTCTGAAAAGTTATCGCTTACTGAGAATGGAGAATCAATACAGTTCCATGGCTGCTCCATGTGCAGCTGCTGTTGAAGCTGAGAGAAGGCTGCCTGTGATGACTGAAAGCTGGTTCCTGGTCCGAAATTTGTAGAATGAAAATTGCTAGTAAAGCCACCGATATCCACAGGCAACTGATTTCCAAAATCCAGCATTCCAACATTAGAATGTGAGCCCAAATTTTGTGAATCTTTTTGAGGCCAGCCTGGAAAATCAGAAGTTATAAGTCTCTTGGTAAAAATATTTCTTGATGGACATAAGATTGGAATATACATGGACAATATAGGACAGGATGGTCTCGCTTTCAGACATAATTTCGCTTGGCTAATGTTTCAAACAATTTTGCGGAATACCACTTACAATTGCTGCAATCAGTCACAGATTGTGTCCAGATTTTGACAGAGAAAAATAGTAGTCACATAAGAGGGTAACATTTGTAAGTTTTTGAACTTCCAGGCTTAATTCCTTTTTTTATCTCCCTTCCCTTTGCACATTCTCCCCCATAAATCAAGGAAGAGAAGAAAATGTAGAAACAATTAAATTTTAGTTGCTAAAGCATTTTTTTTTTTTGTTATATAAAGTGTGTCATTTGTTAACTTTCTGGAACCTGAGTCACTTGATTTACAAGATTCATTCAGGATATATACATAACTGTTAAGGTTTAATATCCCAAGTCAATTAAAGATGATGACAATACTCAAAAAGATTCACAAAATCAATTGTCATTAGCTATTCTTCGTATTCAACAACCATTGCCATGGAAATTTCTTACGAACACTCACATCTATTTACTTTGAGAAGTAAAACCTTGAGGCTTACGAACACTCACGATTGTTATTTTGCGAGAAATAACAATGACAACAGCAACATTTGTTTCTCTGTTTAATCCATTGACAATTGTTATTGCTGTTGTCATTGGTGTTATCTTTCAGGGAGAAGTTCTTTATTTTGGAAGGTATAAACTGCAACTTAAATTCACATCAGCAATATCTTTCTGGTTATTTTTTTCAAGTTTCTTATTCTGAGTTTGACTATTGCTTTTGAAACTTCTGGCAGTATTGCTGGTGCTTTTGTATTAGTCGTCGGGTTCTATGCTGTGATTTGGGGAAGAGCAGAAGAAGAAAAGACTAAAAGGAAAAATGAAAGTAACAATGCAGAAGAAGAAAAGTAACAATGGAAGTGCCTTTATTACAAGACCAGATCGAAGAAGCCTAGATTTTGTGACAACATAAGAGAAGTGATCAAGTCTAATAATTATTACATAAAACTGATCTCATAAGATTTAAACCTCCGATTCTTTGTGTTTTCGGTAGTATAGTTTTATATCAATATTTCTAAAAATTTTAAGTTTATGCTGGGAAATTAAGATTGCTTATTTACTTATAAGGGTACTAGTGCTGAACGTCACATTCTGGGCAACAAACCATCTAAAGTAAAAATCAATTCAAGCAACAAGCAACATCTATCCATGAATGAATATAGAACAAGTATATGAATTCCAGAAAGAACAGAGAAACATGACTAAAAACTAAAAAGGGGCTGGTGAAAATACCTGGTTCGATTTCTTGTTCTTTGGACCTGAGAAACTGAATCCGTTTCTTGACTTCACCCAATTTGGCATCAATCTTTTTCAGAAATTCTTCCGGATTCGAAGTCCCTTCATCACCACCCAAAACCTTCTTCTTGTTACAACCCCTATCATCATATTGTTGCTTCCGCTTTTTATTACGAGACCCGTTTTGGTACAAATTGATCACCTCCTGCACTTCACTACGATTCTCCGGCCAAGAATCAATCTGTCCATCGGGGCCTAAAATCACTGCGCAGGCTTTCACATCACATAAAGTTGACAATTCCATAGTCTTCCTCTTTATGCATTCTTTTCTCCTCAAGAATGCTTTTTTCTTGGCCTTCAACACATCAGCATCCGCCATGTAATCTTTCAAGAGAAGAGAAAATTGAAACCGAAACAGAGAGAATTGAAGAGACGTTGGGTTCAAAGGCGGGAATTGAAATTAGTTGTTGTGTGTTCGAGACGAGGGCTTTCTTTTATAAGAGGGGGAGTGGGGAATTGAGCCGTTGGGAAAGAGGCGGGCAATTGATATTTGAAAATTGAAACTACTGCATTCAAGTTTAAGGCGGTTATGTAAATTTTTGAGTTGTAATTGTTGGGGAGTAAAATTGCAATTTCCTTCATATCAAATTTGGCCCTGTTTGTCCTCATTCTCTAAAAAATTATTTTTTGCCAAACTCATTTTTAATCACATTCTCTCGATAAAATAATTTTACACATAAACTTATTATTATTATTATTATTATTATTATTATTATTATTATTATTATTATTATTATTATTATTATTTATTATTATTATTATTATTATTATTATTATTATTATTATTATTATTATTATTATTATTATACATACATTCTTTTAAAAATCGTTATTATAAAATTTATTTTCACAAAAAATGGGCTAAAAAACACTCTCAAGAATTCTCCTCATAATTGTTGTTTAACGAAGTAATATTGACTAATTAGGAAAAAGAGTTGGTTATCGTGCAATTAAGTAACCAAGCTTAGAATTTGATTATACACACACGAGAAAGTGAGAAACGTGACGATACAGCAAAAGAAGGAAGATTTTGGTAGAAATGTTTTGCATATATTTTAGTGTGATCAAGCCAAATGAACAGGCTCCTAGTTTCAATCCCTAATTGAAAACGTTTTGTATATTTTTTAACATTTTATGAGAATTCGCAAGTGTCTATCTTCTTAAAAATTTGTTATTAAGCCTATTTGACCGATTTTGAAGATAGGAGGTAGAGAGAGGCGAAAGAGAGAACTAGAAAAAGGGGACATGTGTGATTTGGATTAATATTCTAATTTTGTGTGGGAAAAAGTGGTGAGGTAAATGAAAATTTTTATTGAGTATTTTTTTTTAAATCATTAAAGCTTATGTTTGGCTCTTTTTTAAAATTCATTTTCAATTACATATTTTATAGGATCCACAATTTTTATCATTTTTTTCGCCATACATTTTGTCATACTTCTATCAAAATTTAATAAAATATGATTTTTAGCTAAACCAAACAGGAGCAAAGTCTCTTCTTCCTTGGTTGTAGGTGGTTTGTTGAACAACATTTAATTATTTCGTGTCTTTTTTACTCATTTTGTGTTTCGTACCTTTCTGGATTAAATTTTTTCCATCAGTGGTATCAAAGCTCGATGTTCAAAATTTGGGATTGCTGTAACGATGATGGAAAGATTCAAATATGAGTTGGAGCATTTTGAAGGGAAGAATAATTTTAACATTTGGCAAGTACATTGAAAATATTCTTGTACGTCGTGGACTTTATGAGATTTTAAAAGGTAAGAGTCTAAAAAGGATGAAAGCTGCAAGAGTTAGAAGCAATGGCAATCAATACGATTAGATTGTCTCTAGCTCGCGTGGTAAAGTATAGTATTCTAAATGTGATATCACCTTCTAAGTTATGAAAAAAGTCAGAAGATTTGTATGTCTAAATTACTCAAATATAGGTTATGAGCCTGTTTGGGAGTGATTTTTTCTCTCAAAAAAATGATTTTTTTGATCGTTATTTCACTATTTCAACAGTCATATTTGATTAATTCTTTTACATGTGGACCCCACTTTTTCCCTAACGGTCAAAAAATCAATTTTCAAAATCACTCTCAAACAGGCTCTATAATTGAAGAAGTAATTATATAAGTTGAAGACCGATGAGGATTCGTATGTAATGGATCATCTATATAAATTTAAAAAAATGTGTAATTGAGTTACTTATTGTTGATGGTCAGATTAAGGATGAAGATAAGGCGATAAGTACATGTTTGGCTCTCATTTTATAAAATTCATTTTTTTATCACATATTTTATGGAATCTACAATTTTTATCATCTTTTTTACCCAACATATTATCATTCTTTTATCAAAATCCACTAAAAAATTTATTTTTAGCATTCTTCCGTGGTTGTATGTGGTTTGTCGGACCACATTTAATTATTACTTTTCTTTCCAATTCGTTTAGTGTTTTGTATTTTCGTTGGTTCTATGGAATCATCATCATTTCAATAGTGGCGTTAGAGCTCAATGTTCAAATTTTGGGATTGCTAGGAAGACAATGACAAGTTTCAAATTTCAGTTGGAACATTTTGAAGGGAAGAATAATTTTAATATTTGGCAAGTCACACTGAAAATATTCTCATGTAACAACGACTTTACGAGATTCTGCAAGGTAATAGTTTAAAAGGTAATAACAAGTGTTTGCAATTTTCTCCGGCCCAAGTTGCTCCTTCAACTTAGCCTTCGCCTTCTTTCATAGCTTTTCCTTTGCATTCTTTTCTAGCCCCACCTCTTCTTTTGATTTCATAGCTTCCATTTCGATCTCAATAATCACAACATCGTTAGAAATTGTTATCGAGCCATTCCCCGCTATATGTTTAACATGTTCCTTATTTGATACCCTATGATTCTTGGGCTCTGATAATTGCAAATTTGCAAGCACCCTTACAGGTTACAATTTCATGACGAAGAGAGGAAAAGGAGATTAAAAATTTGTCTGATCTTCCAAACAATGGCTGTAGCTACATCATCCTCGTACATGTAATAACCGACGGTGGGAAAACTAGTTGGTGTGATGGTAGTAGGTTGCATGGGGAGTAATTGTATTTTCCATAAAAGCGAAGCCAAATTGCTGAGCCCAAAAATGATTGGTCCACAATGCCCAGTGACCCCAAACGATAGGGGACATCTCTGATAATTCGCCAAAAATGAGTAACTTGAAAAATTAGTGTTCGTATTTTTCGAACTGGTCATGTAAAAAATAAAACAAAGAACAAAGATAACTTTAGATAAGTTTGGAAAGAAAAAAAATTTCATCAGTATACAATCATCCTCTGTTGCATATATTTGTTCATCTCATGCTTTCTGATCTTTGTCCTACAGAAGATATGAATAGATTAATCAGCCAAAGCAGAACATAATATATTTGTGCAAGTACGATAGGATTAAAATAAAAAGTGCATACTCTTCTTTTCCTTCTTCTTTGCTGAAATTCAATAGACCAAAATCATATCACCGGTATGAGAACTAACAAATATTGTCACATGACACTTATTTACGAATGATTGCTTAAACACTAATTTCGAAAACGTAACTTCTTTCATGTCTATAAAGTTATGAATAACTGAATAGCAAACTTGTTATGGAAAAAAAAGTAACACCCCAATTCAATTTGGTACATACATGATCGATAATTAGCAGAAGTGGGCGTTGCTTCCGTCAGCACAAAGGAAAAGAACAACAATAAACATCTCTCTAACAAAATCAACGTAAAAGGCCCATATTGTCTCCTCTTTAGTTTCTAGCTCAAAACATCGCATCCTCTACATAAAAAGGTCAATATGAATTGCTAGAAACTACTTACTCATTTGGCTTCAACACCGCAATAGCCCCTCTTGGTAATGCTTATGAGTCTCCAGGTATAGCCATTAGCATAGACTTGAGATTGCAGTGGGAGTTTTCACTATTTCTAAGTCATAATTCGGATCTCCATTGATTGGGCAGCATTGTATCAAGTATACTATATAAAAGTATTTTATCAAGTATGCATTTTAGTAGTGCATTTGTTTCATCTAAGAACTTTTATTTACTTGAGTGTTGAAAAAAAATACCAAACTATATTTGCAGGTTCACTGACATAACAAGCACCTTGCACCTGTGAAATTTGTATCCCACGGGCAGCGTTTTTCACTCGAATCCACCTCTACTTGGAGAAACAAAATGCGACTTTCAGTTTTTTGCAGCATACTTGTAGAAAACAAAAGTAATGAGCAAACAAAAGCATTAATAGAATATAACAACAAAGAAAATTCTGATCCTCCAATCAACAAGTTCCTATCTAGCCTTGACAAGATGTCCCATTAGTATCAACTTTCATTATATAACAACAAAGAAAATCAACATAATTTTAGCAAAAAAAAAAAAACCAACAATTTTTTTTTATTTTAACGAGTACTTTACCTGTCTACCAACTTCAGCAGACAGCTCGAGTCTGAGTGAACTAATAATGGGGACAAGAATGTATGTGCTAGAAATATGTCTTGGCAATCTGATCGCTATTTATAAGGAAATTAAAAGAAACATCGTTTCAAAAGCAATTGACAAGGGCCAAAAGGGTACTTAAATTACCATGGCGTGTATCACTTCCATTGACTCTCAGAATGTTTTACCTCAAAGCTAACCCCGTGTTAAGGTGCGGCAATCACGCCTGGGAGTAAGAGTTTAGTTAAAAAAATATATATGATTATTGTATACTTTCTGCAGAAAATCCATGACCACGAATAGATAATAAACCAGGTGAAGAAAACACTTTTATGGACTCAATACCTAGAAAAGTTGGATGTACAGTTTTGGCAAGATATTTAGTTCAAGAGGAAACTCATATTTGAAATAAATCTAGTGAAAAGAGTTGGCAAGAAGAAGACAATGTGTAACAATTACCTGAGATTCTAACATCTCTTATGAATAGTAGCCATCAAAATAATCATCTAGAATGCTCATTAAAGTCCTTCAAGGAAAACATAACCAACTGGGCATCAAGAGAAAAAAATATGAGCAACCTACAATTTCCAGTAGCACCCATAGAAGAAGACTTTGGTCGACTGCAAAATGAAGCGCTTGATTCTGTAACTGCCACGCAGAACCAGGTGAAGGTATTGTTAACTTTGATTGACAAATGAGCCGGAAGCTGGATATGTACAAGCAGTCCGCTGCAGTTGTTGCAGCTTCTAGAATCAAATATCCTAAGCCAAAAATGTTTGAGGGAAAACGAGATGCAACGATGTGGAATATTTCTTGTGGCGAATGGAAGTTTATTTCGAGGGGGTGAATATCCTAGAAGAAGGGATGAAAGTTCGAACAGCAACTATGTACCTTTCAGATACAACTGCGTTATGGTGGAGACACAAGCTGGCTGAAG